TTGATAGCTGTGAGATACAGCTTTGAGGCTGAGGGTCAAACTGAACCTGGGCTCCTAATTTATGAGGGAATTCTCTAACCCTTTGAATACTATGTAAAATAATCACTACTGCCTCTGTGGTTTTGACTGGGCATTGCTGCTGTGTTTTAAGTTGAATGTTGTGCTCTTAGTCTGTGAGAGATGTGGCCTAAATGCACCTGCCAGGCATTGGAGCCTCAGCAACACCATGTGGTTTCAGGCCACAGGAAATCTGGTATAGTCACACCTTAGGGCAAAGGGTTCATAAACTTTCATCAGACTTGGCTGTGTATCCAGCCGAAGTGCCTCGTCCCTCCTGGCATAGATGCATGTGGATGTTTGACTATAAATCCTTGCTCTTAATTTGAACTCCTTGTTCTGTCATGTCTTTGTTTGGACAGCCTTTCCTGATTCCTAATGCAAATAGTCTGCCTATTTTACAATTCCCAGATGAGCTTGTCAGGAGACATTTGGCTGAGACCTGTCAAGATGATAGGAGCTCTGGTATGTCCATCAAAACAGCTTTAGTCAGCTAGACACCTGAGTGGAAATGCAGTGTATGTGGACTTCCAAAAGGTGCTGTGGATTTCAGTTTTGGGCTGTGCTTGAGCACTTAAAATTCCCCAAAGTGTCACCAGGATGTTAAAAGTATTAGAGAGAACACAATTAATAATGGAGTTGGAATAAGGAATCCTTTAAAATGCCCTATTTTCCTGACTCAGAAGGCTCTGTGCTGACTGGTTGATATACATCCCTGTGATGTACAATAGATTGGCCTGGGCTTAGTGAAATGGAAGTGTGAATAGGGTCTGAGGACAGGTTGTCTGTGTGGATAACTTCTTTTTCTGCTAGCTAGGCATTACACTGCAGAGAATCTGGGTCCCAGTGGCATAGCAGTAATAAGGATAGAAACTAAGCATTGGCAGCTGATTTGTGACTTTCCTCCCTGCGGACAGTGAAGACTTCATGTGTGTCATATATATGATGCAGTGAATCTTTTCAAGAGAAGAACGTCACTCATTTGCCTCATTTGTTCAGTCTTGCATGACAACTCAGATTCAGCTAGAGGAAGTAGCTTGTCATTTTTATGCCATAATGTTTGGATAAAGAAATGACATGGCAGGTTATATTGTAAAGTTGTATTTCTATATACATGTACCTCTCCTTAGGTGCCATACACATATATGTATAGATAAATAAAAGGATCTTAACCAGGGAATGGGTCCCTGGTGTAGTCCAAGCAGTTTTCTCTTCTTGTTAGTAAAATTGTCTCATGATTTGCTTCCCAGATTTGGAAACACAGCTACTGAAGTCCTTGTTATAGATTTCAAAGGGTCATTGCTCTTATGCCTTAGGGACTTCTCAAGGGAATAGTAGGAAGACATCATACAGAGATCTTGTTTGACTTGGTTGCACGAGGTTCCTAAAAGACAAGTTCATAGTGATTGATGTATGCTATAAATGTCCAATTTGCAGCTTTTTATGTTTATTTTAGAATATGAGTTAGCTTATAAAGATGTTGCAGTAAAAATAAAAGCTATAATTTGGAATTTCTGTTCCATGTTCACATCATTTTAGTGTAGCTGTTAAAAGCTATTATTTGCTCCTAATAATTTCTGAAATATTTGAATACTCCAAAATACTCCTCTGTTCCCTATCCTCTCACATAGTTCCTATTCTGTATCTTCACAAGAGCCTGATTCCTGTTTTTTGCTAGAAATATCTGTACTTTGAGTTGCTACCTAATGCCTGTCCTAGGGATTTCTCTTTGTCATATTAACTGGAGGATCAAACCTAGGTTTGAACTGTTGTATTCTACTTCACTGATATTCTGTAATTTCAACCCTGTTCAGTGACTTGGTCTGAGCATCCTGAAGACCACAAGCCCTTTACACTGGGTGCATGCATATTCTGTGTGCTTACTTGAGAAACAATCATACACTGAAATCAGTGGAGACATTTTGGTTTACTTCAAAAAACCATCTTGATGAATCCCTTCATGGTATGATTTCTCATTAGTTGTCTATTTCACTGGAAACACTGAGGTTTATATATTTATGTTGTATTTATGTTGTTTACAATTTCTTTTTTTCCCAATGGTTGAACCATTTCTCCTGGCATAAAAACTACATACAAGTCAAAATCAGTGGTTTTGTTTGTTTCCCCCAGTAGGTGTGTCAGATTTATCTTTAAAATATTAAGGAAATGAGAAAAACTAAGGTCTTGTGATAGCTTTCTTATGGATGCTTCTGTCTGCAGGGCTAGCTGAAGAAGTGAGATTTCAACCTTTGAATGAAAGATGAGGTAACAAAGGAGGACTTAAGAACTTGACATGACTCAGTAAAGTTAAGTCTCAAAGAGTAGACAGAGAGGACAGAAACATGCTGCTTGATCCATCAACATATTAAAAGCTTTAGTAAATTTTGAGGACTGAGAAAATTCAACAGTTGCTGAGAGGTCAAAGACATCTGTTAAAGATAGCAATAGTTGAAAGATGTTGCTGTCCCTGGTGAAAGATGAGATTGAAATTTTAGCTGAATTTGAGGAAGGGCAGATGCTGAGGTCAGAAAGGTACATTTGAAGAAAACAACAGTATGTCAGGGTCTGCAGTTGCATCTAGCCCTTGACAGATTTACTTTCGGCTATGTCCCTTTTTGGCTGTGTGTGAGATGCTGCTGAGCAAACAGATGAATTAGACTGTCTAATGAGGCATAGCTGGGGGATCTCAATACCTAAGTGTGACTTTAACATGAAGTAGCACCAAACTCAGGTACTGAGTTGAGAATTGGGATATCACTGGTCACTCAGGTTGCTGGTTTGGACTGGTATGGTGGTCCCTAAGATCCTGTAGCAAAGCAGGATCCACATGGCAGTGTGAATACAAAGCAGATTCTCTCTTAGCCATGATGTGGCCTTAGTTTCCTGCACCCTCACCAGAGGGGACCAGGAGAATGCAAATAAGGACAGAATCTAACTTTTGGAATATTTATTACTCTGGGGCTGCATGAGCCAGAAACAGCACAGTTCGATTTTCTTTGCAGTACTGTCAGGAAAGCAAACAAATCCTTTGACTTAATTGTGTATGTCAGCACAACTGGATCTGGAGCTGCTTGTTTTCTGTCCTCTAGCTCCGAAGACACTTTTCCTTAGACTTCCATTTGCAGAATCAGTTGAAGACTGTGAGCTTGCTTAACTATAGAAGTATTTTCTAGATGTGGATTGTTTCTCAACTGGTTATATACTTATATATATATATATAAGTATAATATTATAGGGTATTTTTATAGCCTCCTGAAATAATCTAATTTTTATTGTATCAGTTTTATGGATGCTGATATCAATGAGAAATTCTACTTGGAACATTAGGAATATGGAAAATACCAGACAGTGAGCATGAAGGCTACAGCCTACTGCCACAGGATTTAGTCTGTGAGAAAAAACTTGGCAAGGCAGACTGGTTTCCAGTTATGTGATTATGCCATGTACACAGTCACATAGCTGCCACTAGCTTGCACACTACACCACTAGAAACTAAAGCTCTTCATTGATCCTTGATCTGCTGGAAGCTGTTGCCTCTTGTATTTGGTGTGAGTTTTGCGCAGCAGTGAAAACCCAGAAACAGTTTATGGGCCTTCTGCAGCAATCTGGGGGGCTATAGATAGCAGACCCCTTAAAAAAATGCAGCTGAAAGACTCTGAATCATTAGGTGATCTGGGAAACACTTTGTGAACAGAGAAAGACGGAAAAGGAGAGAAGGTGAAGACCTCGTATGTTTTAGATGTAAATTTCTTGTAAGTTAAAGTAAGAAAATAGGAAAACAATTAACTGTAAGTACACAACAGTGGTATAAGTTAACTAATTTTGACATTCTAGCTTATTGAAAACTTATTTTTTTGCTTGCACATCAGCTTTATTGTGGATAGGCTCAGTGCTTCTTTGGTTTTGGGTTGTTTTATTTTTTCTGTTTGGTTGGTTTTTTTCTCCCTGTTGAGTTTTTGGAAGTGGGCATGAAGAGACACTGCTGGAGTTTAGCAGGCCTTTATCCTTTAAGTATGCCATATATTTTTACTTAAGGGAATAATGTTCTGAAAGTAGGCTCAAATGTCTACGGAGATTGCTTCAAATAAGTATTGGAGTTTTTTGTATATATGCTTTTAGGCAGCATTGAGGCCAGGTAGGATATGTGATCTCAGCTGTGGTATTCAATTGTAGCTCTGTGTCCCCAAAAATCATCTTGCCCTAAATATTTCAAATGCTTCTGATTTGTTTACATCATCCAAAATATTGCTAGTGGCAGGTACTGTGGTGGTGTACTGCTCAGAACATCAGCCTCTCTTAATACAAAGAAAATTGGATAAAGCTGTAAGCAGTTAGTATGAGTCAATGATTCTCTTCTGTAAAAGAAACAAACAAATAGATCAAGGAGCTTTCTTAAAATAGTCAGGATATTGCATTTGACCATTCGATGGAATAACCTGCAGCCCTTTAAGGGAAATGTTAGAAATCAGCGTGCTCTCCCTCTCCAGCCAAATCGATCCTTATGTTTTCCAATTTGTTCTCCTTAGATTCTCCTTTCTTTCCCCCCTTGCCTTAGCTTGTTCTTGCTGTACCATTTGCCTGCATTTCCACATTTTCTCCTGCCATTTTTCACCAGTATTAACTCACTGAAAATGAGTCAACTCTGTATTTCTTTATTCTTTGAAGTATCTTTTTTTAAATTTCGGAGTTAAAACTGGGAAGCTTTTATTTGTTACATCAGAAATATTAGGTGTTGGAAAGAAACACAGTTCAGAACCTGTTCAGTCACCAGTAACATTTTATGCTATTTGTGTGACATCATCATTAGAAAATATGGTGGAGTACCACAGAGAGGAAAATAATCCAGTGATATTCTCTGTTGTGGAGTGCTGAAGTTACAGTAGTGAATGGCCAGTAAGTTTTAAACCTACACAAGAAAAATGGAAAAAAAAAAGAAATCCTACCTTTTAGATTGTACTCCATTGACTGCTTGAAAGGTTTGGTTCAAATATCTTGATCCTGCAATAGTAAAACACCACTTAGCAAGTGGCTTCTTCATGTGCCCACACAAGTAAGAAGGATACTGTGAGGTGTAGGCTGTCTGCTGGAAACAATGTGGAAATACAACAACCTCCTCTTTGTGCCATTGTGAATTTTTAATTTAGACAATGATCAAACAAATCACTTGAGTAGTATGCTCATCCCCTTGAGCTGAACTGGAATGCTAACCTGCTTAAAGTGAGCATGAGCTTGCCTGCTACAGTGGATTAGGACTCATGTGAAATGTTTATACCTTAAACAACAACAATAAAATTAGAAAACTTTCAAATATGTAGTATTATGTGATTTATTTTTTTATTTGTTAAAAGCCAGGGTATTTATAGTATCAGCTGAAATTTTACTTTTACTGCATGCTTGTCAGAACTTTCTCCTTCAGATTTTCACAAACTTTTAAGTTTAAGAAATGCCTCTCGCATTGCAGTAATATTCTAGGTATCAGTAAAGCTATTGTTCTTTCAGATACAAGAGCTCTAGGCTAAATGGAAAATTCAGCAAAATGTTTCCGTTAATAATTTACAGAGAGACAGATATCATTAATGAGATAATGATAGCATTAGAATGAAACAATACAGATGCTTTTTTTCCTTTAAGAATAATAATATTTTCTGTATTTCTTGTAGTGAGTGGAATGTGGGCATATGCCCATGTGGATCTGTGTGTGCATGCAAACCTGTAATGAATATTAATCACCAAGTGAAGCTCATTTCTGTGAAATGAGCAATGTATTTTGCTGTGGATTTTAGAATTTGGGCTATCTACTTTTCTTTCACTCTCAGCATCTCTCTGCTTGAGTGGCAGTAACTTGAAAAATCTCAGTGCAGCTTACAAGACACAAATGCAGATAGAGTTGTGCTTGCACCATTCTTGAAACCTGCAAGGCTTCTCTTGTAAGAGAGTGAGGTTTTTACTGGCCTTGAGATCCCTTTCAGCAGAACTCTCCTAGGATCTAAGCCAAGGCAGTTCATTCCTGAATTCAGTATCCATAGGTAATGTGGCTGGGGAGGGACAGTACGAGGCAATTTCATGGTCATTACCGTTGCTGTGGTTTTGCTACACTGTCTTTGCATCCATATTCCTTGCAATTATACTTTTCAGAACTTATGGGTAAACCGAAATGTTCTCATAAAATTTCACTGCTAGCTTTCAGGTTTGGAAAGTACCCTTGGCTGTATAGGTAGTTTCAGGGTTGCCACTGGCTTGCAAAGTCAGGAAGACAACAATGCATAGTGTCAAACCCGTAGGTGATGTTTAGAAGATTTTCTATTAAAAACCTGAAGTTTGACTAAAAACTAAATGCAAATTGAAGTGGCCCAGATATCTGATGTGACTTATTGCTAAGGAGAACTTTGGAACCCTTGTTTCATGGCATTGCTCTGTTTGTCTTACAGCAAGTCACTTAATTTGTCTTGTATGCTACCATTTCATATCCTTCTCAAAGCTTAATGTTTGTGCAGCACTTTATAGATTTATAGCCCTATTCAATATTATACTGTTGCAAAGGGTTGAGAATGTTTCTGTGCATCTGGTAAAGGTGCTGTCAGTACTTTAGGTGGAGTAAATAATAAAGCTTATGAAGAATGAGTCATTGTGTGATCCTATTTTTATGCAACCTTTTACTGGGATTGTCTTGTGTCTCTTTTTACCTTAATTTCATTCTTATTTGATATAGCTGTCATTATTAATTACCAAACAGATCCTTTCATTTAATTTTTGTTCCAATCTCTAATTTATCTTACTTACTGTGTAATTCTGTCTTGATGTCCTTATTTGTTTTGTATCAGCCATGACTTAAACGCTTGTATGTACAGTGAAAGTAAAATGAAGAATAAAATCCACAGCCTCTTGCCCTATGTTGAAAGGATGCAGAGTTTATTTAACAAATGCAAAAAGATGTAGCCAGCTTGATTAAACCTTACTGTGTGTTCTTATCTCCTGTGAATTGCGTTTGTTTGTTTAACAAATTTGGAAGTAGAAGGTTAGCTATAGAGTTTTCTTTTAATTTATAATTGGGGATTGTTTGTTTATTTTAAATCTTCTAGGAAATATATTTCAATAATTCCATGGAAATTTAAAATGAAAATGCTAAAAAGGAGAGCTAATGGGAGTCATAGCTGTTGGTAAGTTGTAAGCTTATCCATTATATCATGTCAAGTGATAACTGATTTCACTGTGAATTTCTGTCTGATGTGTGTGACTGACTTTTGACCCAAAAGTAGAGTGTGTTTTTTTCTTTAAGGAAAATAAAAACCAATGATTTAGTGAAATTGTTTGCCTAGAATGTTAAAATGAGTGTCGAAGATTCAGTCAAAAATGCTGGATATTTAACAGAAGAATATGTGTAGAAGCTGGCTTCCAGTTGAACAATTAGTTAGTTTTCTCTGTGTCAGACACGATCAGGCATAAACCGTTCTATATTTGTACACAAACTTGAGTTAAAAATATCCCCTTTTCATTGTACTTGGAGCTTTTTCCTCTTCTGCTTGGTGATACTTTGGAACACGGCTGTTAGTCCTGCAAATTACACTCAGACATCTTGATTAAATATTCTTTACCATCATCTTTGCTTAGCAACATTCCTTTTGAGATATTCTGGGAAACTTAATACTTGTCTGGTGTGTAAAACAGTGTTTGTAAATCAAGGAATGTTGCCACATCCTACTTGCTTATGTTGTTTAATACTTTTTACATTACTTTTTTTGAGACAGAAACATGGAGCCTTACACGCCTAGTCACTCCCAACTTATTGCACAACACAACTACAAGTGACCTTAGACCCAGTCTTTGGTATATGGCTTACCATGTTGGTGTAGATTGTTAAATTGAATGAACAGTATCTACATGGTTGTCATGGATCCAAGCAGTAAGTAGTTTTCACATTCCAAAATAACCTGGAATTTAAACAAAATCATTAGGCTCTCAGAAAGAAGCTCCTGTTTGCATTTTCCATTTCATTTAGTTGCTGAAAAACATGCTATCTCAAAGTCATATAGTCAAAATTTAAATACAATACCCTAAGCCTGCTTTGGCATAGACTATGGGTATGCTTCAGACCCTGGGTGTGTTGTGTGCTGGACAAAATTAACCTTTTGGACACTGAGCAGTTATTTCTGTATTTACCCTCTAGTGCTGCTGTTGAATCCCTTTCTAGATTTTTGTTTTTTTGACATTGTATTTGTCCTCCATTTGAAGTGTGCATGGGGTATCACTTTCTCTGTGCAGGCTGGACAGTTGTTGCTCTGATCCACCTACTGTGGGAGTTCCTAAGGGAGCAGGACCCTAAGTTTTTCAAGCCCCATACACAGTTTCTCTGTTGTATAATGTGTGAAGTCGACCAGCACTTTTCATAAGAGAAGAGCCTCCCTCACTCTAAGGATGGAAAATAACTGACATATGTTTTACTCAAACAATACAGGGTTTAACTCTTTCTTTCCAGAATTCATAGCTTAGTCTTACAAGCTGATCTGAAGATCAGTTGGTTGTAGACATTACTTGTATTCCTTTGTTGGCCAAATGTATTAGAATTCCATGCTGTCCCCGACAGTTTCAGAAAATGTTCAGCTATCAACAGTGGCTTTAATTTATGCCCTGAGGTTTGCATTCCCCTCACAGTCTCCTTCCCTTCCCCAATAGCCTTGACCCTACCCCCATGCATGTTTTTGTAGTATTGTTCAAATACTTTCTCTGCTGCAAACTCTGTTGTGCAGTAGGTTTTTTGGGGGTCTTTTTGATCAGTTCAACTCTTCATCTCAATTCAAATTTCAGTGGAACAAACCTCTGATTTCCATGTATTCTTTGTGTTGCTGCTCATGTGTTTCACTGTAATTGTTTACACATGGTTGTATTAAAGTGCTCTTTGTGCAGGGCAGGCTGAGATGCATTTTATATGAGGAATAATGTGTAAGATGTAGGCCCACTGCATGTTGATAGTAAAACTGTGATTGACCTTGCTAGGAGTGGAATCAAAGTTAAGGTTCTGTTGCAAGGTCATGAAATGGGGAAGTTTTGTCAAAACAAAGCTGAATTTGAAAATCTTAAATTCTTTCTGTGAATGCTTGGAGTGAAGAAGTAATCTTTCAACTCTAAAACTGCATACTTCTCCCCTAGGCTCTGTAGGGTTGAAGAGAAGTAAAAATGTAGGTAACTATAACTCTCTTGGTTTACTAGGGGAATTGAGGAGGAAGAGAAATGAATAAAGTTTTCTTTATGAAAAGTACATAAGACATATAATAATTTTGAGGTTATTCTTTCAGTCTTTCCTGGATTCAAAAAGTTTTCCAAGACTTTTAATATATTTATCAGTATGTTAGTTCTTGAATTCTGTCATTACACTCCTCGTAAATACCAAACTTGTCACTAAAAACGTGAAGAACATAAGCAGGTAACTGAGATACCATGTACCAGTTAACATTTCACTGAACACTGCTTAACAATTCTTTGAGAGCTGACCAATCTCCCTGATTTGTGGAGAGCCTGATCTGTAACTGAAAAGGCACAGGTTATTTCCTGAGTGGTAAAATTAAGCTGAATAAAAGGGGAGGTCTTGATCCACAGCTGAAAATAGGCTGTAATTATCTGGAAGAGCTCAGTGGTCTTGCCAGTTTCTGGGTACATGGGCTGAACTTCCAGTTTGCACCTGTGTGAGCTGAATTTTGCTCATTTTGCCATAAATTGAAGGTGTCATAAACCTCTGGCATGTTAGATTGTAAAAGGTGATATATTCAAATATGTACAAGGGATTTCTGGAGAATTACCACCTTTCCATTAGCTAAGGCATCTTACAATAGCGCTGTCCATTTAGTTGATCTTGCATTCCATTATCACCTGCCCATTTGTGTCTAGATACAGGTTCTTAGCTATAGTTGTCTTTTAGTGAGGCCCCTTTGGGTCACTGTCGGAAAGAGATATTTTTATGTTCTGCTTGTTCCATGATGGCTACTTTCTATTGTAGATCATGATGGCTACTTTCTTCCTGGCAACTAGTGACCATGAGCTGTTTTAGATGGTGGTATTCTTGTTCTTAGCAGGCTTTCTGCTGCCTGCACTATGAATCACAACAAAATAAGTTTGTCTTATGTTTTATGAGTTGTCATACAGAATTATAAAATAATCTATTGAAAGGGAGCTCCACAGTTCATCTGGCCCAAACTTACAGTCTGTAGAGGTCAATATAGGTCTACAGCACGATATGAAACATATAACAACCAGAATTTGCTCATTAATGCATAGGAAGCTTTGATCTTTATTGGCAGTGTCTGCAGAAGCAGCATATGGCTCTGCTGGGCAGGTGTTGGGGCGTCAATATACTCTGTCTATGTTTGTATAGTTCTTTATTAGTAAAAATTTCCCAGAAGCTAAGGTGGAAGTTCAGCATCCGAAATTTTCCACTTCAGTAAAAGTTTCCTGTTCTCAGCTTGGGTGTTAAACGTGTTCTGATTGCTTACCTCTAGATTTCAGCCCAAAATGCTATCAATCTGTCTTCTGTTTAAAGAACCTAGAAGAAGAAAAGAACATACTGGTGTGTTGCTGTATATTGCTATTTGCATATATGAGTATGTGCTATGGCAATACAGAGACATTTATATGCCCTCTAGAAAAAGGTATTTGTGGCAATTTTCCCGAGTCTGTTGTTAAAAAGATAATTATTTGTTGCAGTAGGTTACACTGTTTCTCAAGTACTGCTTTCTCATTTTAAAGTTTTTGTCATCAGGACAAGTAATATAATGCCTAGATAAGGAATGTCTTATGAGTGGGGCCTTTTACAGCTCCATCCTGCAAACTGCTTGGACACAGAGATGTTCAGGTACCCAATTCCTGTAGACACTATTCAGTGAGCATTGAGAAACCATGACAGTCTAACAGACAGTACTCTGCATGGAGTAGCTTCATTTTCTTTCTTTGTAGAAATTGAGGATATGCAGCTTTTCATATGATCAGAATCTGAGAAATCAACCTACCCAGATGCTTAAAAATTAATTAAGGGGAGGGAGTGAGCAAAACCAGCTCCTGATTCCTGCAACTGTCAGTGTCCATAAATCATCAGCTCTGTTTTTCCTTTTGAAGCAGGACAAGAGCATGAATTTAATTAATGGGTTTGACTTTCTCTGGAAACACACAGTAGAGAAATCGCCCTACCCACACCTTTCACAGATGCTGTAAACATACAAATGTTATTGTGTATTTACTCATGAATGCTTACCAGCATCATTGTGCTAGATACAGTTGAATGCCTCAGGCAGGTGGCAAGCCAGTGACTGCAACAAATCCTTGCTCTTTGGGCAACCACATCAGAGCCACAAAGGAGCAGCAGGTTAGCTCCGGTTTTCTTGGTTCCACCTAGAGTTTTGTTCAACACAGGCATTAATAATGGCTGGTACAGAAAACTCTAGGGGAAAACAAAAAGAGTGGTTTTTATCTGTTTTTCATGATAGGAAATTTAATTATAACATGGAAAAAAAAATCAAGTAGATTTATCCTGCCACTGTTTTTTTTTTTTTTTTTTTTTTTTAAAAAAAAGAGGAAAAAAGCTTATTCTTTTTAAAACTATCCCTGCAGTGGAACATCAGGAGTATCTCTGCATTGTTTGATTTTTCTTGTATTTTTAATTCCACCTTATGTGTTAAGAGAGACAGAAACTGTCAGGCTGGATCAGACCTCAGTCCATCTCTTTAGTCAGCATCAGATACCTCAGAAGAAATAGTGCAGCCACCACTTGGGGAGCTGGTATTATGTAATTTTTACATCACATCAAACATGGCTTAAGTCTCTGAGTTTGAAGACTTATATTCTCATAAGAATTTTAACTTCTTAAAACATATTTGATTTTGTCATGTTCACTGTTGTGATGCTGGATATTTTTGTTTTCTATGGAAATCTCATTGCACTCTTTGCCTTGGTAACAAATTTATAGCTAGCAATTGCCCAGACTAGTTATGCTGGTGGAAGAATGTTGCTTGCTCCATTCTGAACTAGTCCCTTTTTTGATCTGACTGAATGTTCCCTGGTATTTATATTATACGACAAGATGGTCTTACAATGCAGTGTAGGATTTCACTGTCTAGACATCTAGAGGACTTTGAAAAATGTATATTGAGAAAAGCAGCTGATTTTTTAGAAGAAGGACTTATTGAGAGCATTATTTGAGCTCTTCTATATGGATGGGTCTTTTTGGTTAGCATGGAAGTCTCTGAGATGTGGAGCTATCCTCTAAGTAAATTGGAAAACAGTGGTGCTTTATTCAAATACTGAAAAATAGGTTTGATAATACTGAAAAAATGTTTGAATGTTGCTTTATGTTGCCTGTGTTGTCTACAAGTGTGAGAGCATTCTGGAAACTTTAGGTGCAGAATGTCATCCACTCTCCTGACTGCTTGAGCCCTGTGATGTACTAACAGTATCAGTTCTAGCTCTTTTTTTTGTTTGTTTGTTGTGTAGAGATTTTGGCAGGACCTATCTGGGGATTTAAGGAGAATTGGGCCTCTAAATTTTAGAACAATATTACCAGATCTGTGGTGAGTGCATTTATGAATATTTATCTGCAACTTAAGATTCAGAGTGACTGTTAAGAGTGCAAGCTACTGCACATTTTAATCGGGCAAAGTCCTCAGACCTCTGTTCCTTTCTCTGTCATGCTCATATCCTGACAAGATCCATGATCCTTGCTTTTTAAAGACTCATGCCAAAACAAAAACATCCAAAACAAATATCAGTCAAAAAATGCTGCTTCTTCTCTAAGATTAAATATTTAAACACACTTATAGATGTACTGGCCAGACACTGGCACTGGTAATTCTGGGAAATATTCACAAAGAATGCCAGACACAGGGCGACTGGTGCGCTAGGTCTCTGTGTTTGTTATAAGATTTTTTCGTTTAACTGTAGAATAAATATTTTAGATTTCTCACCTATATATAACAGCTTTAGTCCAAAGACTTTAATAATTTAATAAATTCTTATTAAAGCTATACTTGGCAGCATTTTATCATGTAAAAAAACTTCATCAGCTGATTTCATTAGCACAGCTTTGTATAAAGGCTAGGATGCAAGTTCTGGGGTTTTACACTGGGATGGCTGAAAAAGTAAATCATCATCCCCAGCTGTTGGCCTCATCTCATTATTGAAGAAGGCCATTTTGAGCATAAGGAAGGTGGAAGAGGCTTAATTTCTTCTACTGTTTTTGACTAGGTTTCACAGCATGAATTAATGTGAACTGAAATTTATTGCAGTTTAGCCTTCATTGATGCATATTCTACCATGTCTTCTCCATGGCAGTGGGCCTTCCTCCATGGGGAAGAAACTTTTGTGGTCCTTAAGCTTGGTAAAAACTGGACCATGAATCAATTGTACTTGAGTGTTAGACTTAGCTCTGTGTTATTTTATTGCTTGATTGCTGAAGAATCTGACAAATTAAAGGCAGGGCATTATCTGCAAGTCATGCTCTGCTTTTACCTGTTCAACCTGTCTCTGCATTGTGTCAGGAGCTTCACTGGGATGCACTGGGGAAAAGGCTTGTTTTCAGCCTTTTTGTGCTGTACAGGAAAACACTGAGGCTCAGTGCCTGGCTGTAATGCTGTGGTGTTACTTAACAGTAAGAGGTGACTTACAGCTGGACTGAGCCAAGGACGTGCTGTAAGCCTGACCTCACACTATTTCCCTGATACTCCTCTCCCTGCAGCCCCTCTCTGCAGACCTGTTATGGATCTTTTCCTTGCTTACACTTACCAAGGAGCTTGTGCTGTCTATACTCTTACAACAAATCATGTATTTACTGGTGGAAGGGAAGGGACATGTGTGTGCTGTGAATGTCTTCTCCTTCCACTACCTTTTTCATTAAAACTGTCTGATGTGGCATGCACTAGCTGATGCGGGTGTATCCATGTGATTAGCCAGTCTTGACAGCTTTTATCTGGCTTGCAGCTATCTTGCTTAGGACCTGGCTCTGTAAGCAGTATCTCCAGACACCCAGTCATCTCCCAGTCTCTGACTATTTTCAGGCAGTGGTGACAAAGCAACATCATTTAGCTACAAAAACTGTGAAGGTTTCTGAAGAGCGTTACACATTGTCATAAACTCATAAGCTTTTCTGTTGGCAAAGAGCCATGGGAAACCACCTGTAGAAATGTGATTTCCCGCCATTCATGTTTTTGAGGATGTGGAAATGAATGACATTAAATCGTGGGCTATAATTTAGACAGTGAGAAGATTGCAGACTGATTCTGTAAGTAGAAAAATCCCCTGAGGAAACACATTACATCTATAATCTTGTCAGTTAGAAGATTAGCAATTCAGTCAAAAACTAATTTATATAAATGGCTTAACAGTAAAGATTGTGCTAATAGAGGTAAGAAATGTATTTTGCTGAAGGCTATGAAAATTGAGGAACTTAGAAGAACAGTATTTCTTTTTGAATAAATGTAGTAGCAAACTATTCTGAGCTATAATTAGTTGAACATGACTCTTCTATTGCAACATTTGAAATAATTGTCATTACATAGATATGTGGTTGAAAGAATCCTAATGTACTTAGCATTCGCTTACATATTTGGATAACATCTTTGTTGGAGACATGGACAGTGGGATTGAATGCACCCTCAGCAAGTTTGCTGACAACACCAAGCTGTGTGGGGCAGTCGACAAGCTGGAGGGCAGGGATGCCATCCAGAGGGACCTTGGCAGGCCTGAGAGGTGGGCTTGTGCAAACCTCATGAAGTTCAACAAGGCCAAGTGCAAGATCCTGCACATGGGTTGAGGGCAATCCCATGCACAAATACAGGCTGGGCGATGAGTGAAATAAGAACAGCCCTACAGAGAAAGACTTGGGGGTACTGGTGGATCAAAAACTGACTATGAGCCAGCAATATGCACTCGCAGACCAGAAAGCCAGCCATACCCTGGGCTGGATCAAGAGAGGTGTGGCCAGCAGGCCAAGGGAGGTGATTCTCCCCCTCTACTCAGCCCTTGTGAGAGCCCCCCTGGAGCACTGTGTCCAGCTTTGGGGCCCCCAGCATAGGAAGGACACAGACCTGTTTGGGTAGGTCCAGAGGAGGCCATGAAGATGATCAGGGGGCTGGAGCACCTCTCCTCTGAGGACAGAATGAGAAAGTTGGGTCTGTTCAGCCTGGAGAAGAGAAGGCTCTGGGGAGAACTTACAGTGGCCTTTCAGTACTTCAAGGGGGCTACAGGAAAGATGGGGAGGGACTCTTTATCAGGGAGTGTAGGGATAGGACAAGGGGTAACAGTTTTAAGATGGAAGAGGATAGATTTAGATGAGATATAAGGAAGAAATTATTTCCTATGAGGGAGGTGAGCCAGTGGCACAGGTTGCCCAGAGCAGCTGTGGCTGCCCCCTCCCTGGCAGGGTTCAAGGCCAGGCTGGATGGGGCTTTGAGCAACCTGGTCTGGTGGCAGGTGTCTCTGCCTATGGCAGGGGGCTGGAGCTGGATGGTCTTTAAGGTCCCTTCCAATCCAAACCGTTCTTTGATTCTATGATAACATTTACAGCCTTTAAGGCCCCAACATCAGAATGGGACTTGTTCATTATAGTTTATAATTGTGTGAATATTACACGGACGCAATTAAAGAATAAACCACTGTGGAATAGAGGTGCTTCAGACGACATTTTGAATATTCTATGCTAACAAACACAGGCTTGGGAGCACATTTTCCCCATCACTTTAGTTGTGTGCATATGTATGTATATATTCCTCTCTATATATATTCCCAATTGCTATGGTTAGTGTGTGGAAAGCTCTACACTATCAAAGTTAGTTTTTAATAGTGCACATTCCTCTAGTTAGAAAGATAAGAGAGTCACAGTAGCTGCTGCTTCTTTCTCCTGGTGTTGGTAGGGTACCTCCTCCTTTTAAAAATTAGTTTTTGTTGAGATTGTGCAGCCAGGTTTCTTCTTGTTTAGGAATTATGATATTGAGTGAACAAAAGGATGGGCCCTTACTTTATAGTTGGCGTACGTTTATGTAACTCATCTCACATCAGTAATCAGTGTAACCCATATATTCTCAAAATTAAATATATATGTTTTGCAATTTGTTATGAAATAGTTGCACCCACAGTGTGAACACCCCTGTCAAATCTAGGGGATGGGGGTTGCAGTCCAGGGAGTTTGGCTGACAGCTTCCTGGTATCTGCATCTCCCCTGGAGCACCTACTGCTGGAGAGCCAAGGCTGGAGCTGATGTCAGTGAGGTGAAGTGTTATTATGACATTTACTTGGGGCTTATTGCTTTTCTTGAAGTTGTTCAACTTGTTTGAAGGAGGTGTAAAGCTGTCCCCAAAGGCCAGAAAGCCCCATTGCTGAAGTAGTCAACAGGTCTACCCTTT